GCTCGCTCGCGCCGCCGGCTCGCGGGGCTGCAAGCCCCCGCCGGCCGGGGCCATGCAGGAAAGCCAGACCAAGAGCATGTTCGTGTCCCGGGCCCTGGAGAAGATCCTAGCCGACAAGGAGGTGAAGCGGCCCCAGCACTCCCAGCTGCGTAGGGCCTGCCAGGTGGCGCTCGGTGAGTGAGCCGCCCCGGCCTGGCCCGCACCGGCCTCCCCACGCCGGCCGTTACCCTCCGGGCCTGCTGGCCTCCGCTTCCCCCAACCCGAATCCCACCCTCCTGGCTTCTTCCGCCTCCTGTCCTCAGGGGAGCTGGTGTCGGGGCGGCTGAGACTGGCCCAAGGTCACCCAACAACTTGGTGACAGCCGGAGCTGGTTCTCCAGCCTCCTTGCCTAGGGCCTTGCCACGACTTCTTGTCTCGTTTCCTGGTTCCTTCGTTCAACCATCTCCAAGTCCTCAGAAGCAGTCGCCTTTGCTCTTAAGTTTTTCCTTTACCTGGGCTGTTCTGGTTGGGGTTCTCCCACGTGAGCGAGCAGAGCAGGTGAGAGAGCTGCCCAGTTGGTGCTGAGGAACCCCAGAGGCATGATTTGAAAATGTCCCACTGGAGAACACCCGGACTCTGAGCTCTTCACCTCGCAGGCGTGCAGGGTGATCAATATTCTAGGCACTGGACAGTGTGCAAGACATCGCCTCATTTTAGGGCGGGTTCCTAAAATAAAGGTTCTGCCCAGCAAAGATACTTGTCTGATTTGTTCAGTGCGCTGTCCTGTGCACCTATGATAGTATTTGGCATATAGTAGTTTCTCAGTAAATATTTGCTTGTTGAATGGATCCATGGATTATGGAAAGAGAGACGTCTCTAGCATCTAACTAGGTAAAAGCTTGGTAGTTGACACCAGCATCAGTCTTAGTTATTTATCAAGTGCTAGTGTACCAGACACTGAGGACATGGCCATGATGGGGAAATGGAGTCCTTGCTGACTCCTGTGGCTCTTACATTCTGGTAGCGCAGACAGAACAATACTAACAGATACTGCCGTGAGATGAAAGAGCCGAAAGTGAACCAGAGGACCCGAGATCTGCTTTAGATTGGATGTGACGTTTGAGCCCACTTCTAAAAAAGCAAGACATTGTCTACCATGTGGAGTTTCGAGAGGAAAAGTTGTGGGTGGAACAGAACATTTGACCAGATCTGTCTTCCTGCTAATTCACCACCCTAATGCCTGTGCAATTCCATGTTAGGATCTTTGCTGCTGCTGTTGTTGTTTTCAGAGACAGGGTTTCTGCGTGTAACAGCTTTGACTGTCCTGGAACTCACTCTGTAGACCAGGGTGACCCCAATCTCACAAGTGCTGGGATTAAAGGCATGTGCCTGGCCCTCTGTGGGGATCTTTTTAAAGGGACTGTTTTCCTAACACATTGAGCAAATAGAAAGGCAGCTTTTCTGTTACAGTCAAATTTCTCCATTTGGTGCAAATAGAGAGTTCACTTAAGACCTCAGAATGGACATGGGATCTTTGTACTTCCCTGTGGAAGGTCTAGGCCTTGTGGGAAGCATTCGTGAGTCCTGTTGTTGTTGGAAGGAGGTGTTTGCTGCCTGTGTAATCCAGAAGCAGCTAATCTTGTGGAATTCGGGCTCTGTGGAAGGCAGTTACTGAGACCTAAAGCTTTAAAGCTTTTCTGTTTCGAAAAGCAGGGCTGAGAGTTGGGTTTGGTTTTGTCGGGACTGTAGGGGAAGCATTAGAAAAGCAGCCTGTGAGTTATAATGGCAGAAGCCTCAGGGTGAAACTTGCCTGGACTCCATTCTTCCCATAGTTTTAATTTCCTGTTTAGAAATTTTAACATCAAATATCACACTGCTAGGATCTACTTATAAAATTGTCCTGTGGGCCATAGCATTGGTGTATTATTAGATATTCTTGGATCATGTTTTTGTTTAGAAGTTCAGATTTTTGTAAGTCAGGATGTAGAAATGTACATTTGAATTATTCTACATGTGTGTCCACATGTGAACATGCATATATGCATGCACATTATATACACATATGTGTGTAAGAAATGGCTCAACAGGAAGTAATTGACTCCAGGTTATGTGAAACTGGAGGGAAGGCTCCTTGTTACCAATGATTAGGGAATTCACACAGGACTCCTTTAAGGGAACCATCCTTTAAGAGAGTAGCCGTGTGAATAGTTAGTGAAAAGACTTGCTTTTATTTCTGAGCAGTAAAAACATCGCAGTGTATATGGTGTTCCTTCACTCTATCTCAAGACCTTGTCTTGGGTCTAAGTAATTCCATTTAAGAAGAGAAATGTGTGGGGCTGGAAGACAGCTCAGTGGATAAAGTGCAGCATGAGTGTGAAGACCAGAGTTCAGCTCCCCAAAACCCCCGTGTATATAAGACAAGCAGGTGTGGTGACTGCCTATAGCACAAGCACTTGGGAGGTAGAGCTAGGGAGTTCTTGGGGCAAGCTGGTTAGCTAACGAGCTGAATTGGTAAGCTCTGGGTCAGTGGGAGACACTGCCTGGGGAACCAGAGAGCAATCAAAAAAGAAATCCAGCATCAACTTTGGGCCTCCATGCTCAAGGGTGAGAGTATGCACTCCCACATGTGGCCATGCATACTCTGAATGTGTACCACATGTATATATATTAAAAAAGAGGAATAAATAAAGAAAAATGACTGAAGTGTGGAAGTCGGTAAAAAGTATAATGCATTTTGTTTGTTTATTTTTGTTTTTCAAGACAGGGTTTTTCTGTAGCTTTGGAGCTTGTCCTGGAACTCACTCTGCAGACCAGGCTGGCCTCGAACTCACAGAGATTCGCCTACCTCTGCCTCTGCCTCCCGAGTGCTGGGATTAAAGGCCACTTCCCAGCTTGCTTGCTTGCTTGCTTCCTTCCTTCCTTCCTTTCTTTCATATTTATTTTATTTATTATGTATACAATAGTCTGTCTGTGTGTATGTCTTCAGGCCAGAGGAGGGCACCAGACCTCATTACAGATGGTTGTGAGCCACCATGTGGTTGCTGGGAAGTGAACTCAGGACCTTTGGAAGAGCAGGCGGTGCTCTTAACCTCTGAACCATCTCTCCAGCCCCATATTTATTTATTTTTAAAGCAGGATTTTTTTCTCTTGCTTTGCTTTTTTTTTTTAAACTTTAAAAAGAAGCTTTTATTTATTTTGTAGCATGTGCATTACAGGAAACAAAACCCAAGAAGCCAAGAACAGTCACCCAGTCACATGCAGCTCAGCTTGCTGTGCCCCTCTGGATGCCGCAAGTGTACATACATTAGGCAATTGAGGTTACACAGTATGCATCATGCTTGCCCCCACGATGTGATTATTCACCATCTAAAACCCCACGCTACATGAGTATGTTGATAACCAAGAATACACCACGCCATCTCAATCTGTCAGACAATTGCTTTGCTTTTTTTAAGTGATTTATTTTTATTTTATATGCATTGGTGTTCTGCTGGTATCTATGTCCGTGTGAAGGTGTCAAATCCCTTAAAACTGGAGTTACAGAACAAGACAGATGTGAGCCACCATGTGGCTACTGGGAATTGAACCTCCAGTCCTCAAGAACAGCAAGTGCTCTTAATCACTGAACTATCTCTCCAACCCCAAAAAAGTACAATATGTTTTAAAGATAGTGTGTAGATTGTCATTAATTTTGGTAAGAACTGTAAGTGACCAACGAAAACTGAAGTGTTTGGATGATAAAGAGTCCTCACCAGAAACTGTTTCTGTGACAGGTTCCTGCCAGTTACAGTGGGATGAGGAGGATGGGAGGCAGTGTTAGGGTTTCAGGGCTGTATCTCATATCTGTGAAAAGCTCTGAGCCTTCTGGGATTCAAGATCATCTGGGTTCAAATCAGCTGCCTTTACTTGCTGTGTTTGTTCTTAATCTTCCACATTTGTCAGGGTTACCGGTAAGGTGAAGTTAGCTGGATGCTCAGCAGATGCATGCTGCCGCAGAATCTAAGCACGCTGATGTGGTTCTTTTAGCCTTGGTTATGTCTTTCAGGAGTCACTTATTGATCTGCTTGGTTTGTAGATAAAATAAATGAATGTAATTATGGGACCAGAGAGCTGACTTTAGCAGTTAAGGAGTGTTAGGAGTGCTGACTGCCTTTGCAGACCTGGGTTCTATTCCCATTACTCACATGGTGGCTCACAACCAACTATGGGTGCCAAGAGATTTAACACCCTCTTCTTGCCTCTGTGGGCACACATATGGTATACCTATCTACATGTAGACAAACACTCATCCAAATAAAATAAAAATAAATAAATCTTTTCTAAAAAATGTGATTACATGATGGATAGGCAATGCTTGTTACAGCGTTAACTTGCTAAGTGCAGTGAAGACAGGAGTTGTATCTTGTAAAAGCAGGGATGATCAGGGTGAAACAAGATTGGAGTGACCTAATGAGTCATCTCTAAATATCAAACACATAGATAGATGGTGATCCAAATCGGGGGTGGTGTCCTTCTAACTCTGTCAGAAGAAAACAAGAGCCTGTGAGAGTATTCTTCTCCTGAGGACATTGTTGCTTTTGTCTCTTTAATGGTGCCTGGATTGCCTTAATAAGCTCCAACCTTTCAGCTCTCAATTGGAGAATTTAATGCCATTCTTAAAGCCTTCCTTTTATAATTGTCTTACTTAGGGCCTCTTTCTTAATGATGTCTCTATATTTCCGTTCTTAAATTGTATGACGTTTGGAAAGTTGACCAAAAGGAATAAAAAATCTTAAGTGTTTTTAAATTGAATATGGAAAGATTTATCTACTGTTTAACTGGATCATCCTAACGATCCCCCCTTCTCTGTGTGTGTGAGAAATAGAGTATTTAATAATTTAGTATGCAGAAAGTACTATGAAAGGGTCAGAGTGTTCTGTAAATGCTGTCATGCTCAGTCATCATGAAAATCTAAGAACAAATGTGTATCTATTTTTCATATAAAACTGACTCTGTAGTTACGTGTCTTTGAAAACAGTCTTACACTGGTGACGTTTCAGTGAAGAGATTGTTTTCTGTAGCTGAATTCTGAGATACATTTGAAAGCTTATGATCAAAATGATCTCTTACTTTTTTTTTTTTGAGACAGGGTCTCTCTCTGTGTAGCTCTGGCTGTCCTGGAATCGACTCATTAGACCAGGCTGGCCTCAAACTCACAGAGATCCTTCTACCTTTGCCTTCTGAGTGCTGGGATTACAGGCATATGCTACAAAAGATCTTTTCTCTCTGTAGCATTTTACTGTCTTTGTTGTGCTGGTAGGTGGTTTCATATGAGCATCATTGAGCTAGCTTTTTCCGATTCGTGATGTCTGTCTGCATCAGCCACATTGAGCTCTGTCCTACAGAATGATGACTGTTTAGGGTACCTGTGCAGTGGGAAACAAAAGAGAGTGGTTTGCCCACAGCTACACAGTGGGTGGACAAAGGAAGCTGCAACTCCCATTTATCTAACCTGTGGAGGATGAAGTCCAGTCTCAGGCATGCTGCTTTCTCTGTTTGATACCAGAGTTTAGAGCCTTGTGGGTCACAGGTGGCCATCCATTGAGCTCTTTGAGTGGCACACTGCAGGTGAAAGGCAGACTGGTGTGGGAGGAGGTGTGGGAGGAGATGGGGACATAGTAAGCACA